GCACTTACAAGGAATACCATCTTAGAAACATCACTTATTCTTTCTCTGAGCCCCCTTTTCCTAGTCTGTGAAAAGGGAATGCCACGCACCCCTGCTTCCTTAAAGGTTGATGATACATGTAAATAAACTAACACTGCTTAGGGCAGAATAGTTCTTCATTATCATCATTTGGAGAATTCCAAGCAGGAATGAAGTACTGTAAAAACGCATAAGGCAGCCGGGCTCGGTGGCTCAGCCTGTAATCCCCTGCCTTTGGGAGGCTGAGGTGAGTGGATTGCCTGAGTCCGCAGGTTCGAGACCCGCCTGGGCAGCGAGACCTCATCTCTATAATAAATAAAAAAAAAAATCAGCCGGGCGTGGTAGCGCATGCCTGTAATTCCGGCTACTCAGAAGGCTGAGGCGGAAGGATCGCCGGAGCCCAGCAGGTCGAGGCTGCGGTGGCCGGGAGCGGCCACTGCACTCCAGTCTGGGCGACTGAGTGAGACTCCAACTCAAAAAAAAAAAAAAAAAAAAAAAGAAGTAATAAAAGCATTATAGAGGATTCCCTAAACAGTTATATTTCATTCTGCTCATATATTTTCTTACTCGATTATATGAGATTGCCATCAGATGCTATCCCAAACATACAGCCTACAGAAAAAAACCTGCCCTTTGCAAACAAAAGAAAACAAAGAACTTTTAATATCAATTCCACCCCTATAATTATCTTTTTTACTTCAATGTAAAATAGTCCCTTTTGATGCCACTCCAAATTTCTGTCCGTTGCATCATTAACACAGAATATCAATTCTCCCAGTTTGAACAGCCACTTTTTAGTAGAATCCAAATTTCTCCATTCTTGATCTTCAGGCTCCATTCAATCCTCAACTACTGTCATCAGGTTAGTTCCCCCATCATTTCAACTTCTTAGCAAACATTTAACCCTATCTAATCAGTTCCCCCATACCTCATTTCTTGCCTGAAGCAAACTTCCCTGCTCTCTCTTTTCCCTTTAACTTCCACATATGCAGTCACCAACTCCCTGTGCTCTTCCTTCTAATGTGTTTCATCCTTCCTACTCCTCCTCCTGTCACCTAAATCAGGCCCTTACATAAGTACAGGAATAGGTCAATAGGTATATTACCTAATATATCTGCATCAAAATTTTCCTATCCATACAAAAAACAAACTTCCTTCACATAATGTCCGTTATAGATGCTCTCTACTTTCTCTTTTCCCTTTTTTCTTTTTGATCAATTTATGCTTTTAATAGAGGCAGGGTCTAGCTCTGTTGCCCAGGCCAGTGTGCAGTGGCACAATCATAGCTCACTGTATCCTTCAACTCCTGAGCTCAAGCAATCCTCCTGCTTCAGCCTCCCTAGTAGTTGAACTATAGGTGCATGCCCCCACACCCAGCTAATCTTCTCCCTTTTTCAAAATAACGAAATGTATTGCTTGTCAACACACTGTCACCTGAACTTCCACCTGCTTTTTTTTCTCTCTAGCTTCTCACTATCCCCTCCAGCTTCACTGAGCATTCAGCTGCACACACAACATACTCTTCTCCCCACACAACTCTGTCCTTGTGATCCTCCTGCCTTTTTCTACCAGTGATAAAGAATGACTAGGAGTCTAGCTGGCCACCATCTCAAGTATCTCCTCCTCCAGTATGGCTTCCCTGACTCCTGAGCTCTCCAATAAAGATTCGAAGCTTTTCCTTTCTGCTTTTTTAATAGATGATATATCCCTTTATCTACCAATTATGACAAATGCAATGAAAATCCCCTCGTGTCATATCTGTCTGCAAGCCAACCAGCCTTAAGGGCAGCAAATGCTTTTTCATTTCATTGCCTCAGTGCCAAGCAGAGTGCCTGGCATATACTAGGTTTTCACTAAATATTTGCTGAACGAGTTAATCCAATACCTTAACCACTCCTTCCCCTAAACTGTACATTTCTCATTACCCACAAGCTCAAGACCAAATTTCCTTCATTATTTATTTAAAAAGTTAAAAATTACCTGAATTTTTGCAGGTGGTGATCACTATAAATGCCAAGATAATAGTTACATATGACTGGAGGGAGGAGGCTATGACTAAAATGGGACACAGGAAAAAAGCCTTCAAGGGTGGGAAGAATGGGGGGGGATAAAATTTTATTTCCTCATCTGTATAGTGGTTACAAGGAAATTTGTAACAATTCATTAAGTAACAAGTTTCAGCAGCAGACAAGACTGTCTCTGCTGTCCTGCCCACTATGCCCTTCACAGTGTATCTTTCCTTTAATAAATCTTTCTTAATTCACACCAAAAAAAAGCAACAGGTTTGTTTTGTATGGTTTTCCGTGACTATGATGCATTAATAACATATTTATTACATATTATATATGTATAAACATGTATATTATATATTAGAATATGATGCAATTGTATCAGTCTAAAGTAACTAATATAAAATATGCTACTTACCAAAACAGAACTCAGCCTTTGGCCTTAGCTTAGTTGCATCGCTAACCTAAGGAAAAAATAGAGATGAGTTACACTTCTTCATATGCTCCTGTAACCAACCTCAAACACTATGTAAACTTCCACTTGTAAGATTTCCAATATCCATATTTAGCAAATATATCTAAAATTAAACTTTAAAGGCAACTGAAAAAGAACAGCAAATTAAATATATAGACTATAGGTCCCAATAGTAAGATGGAACAAATGACACTTCCATGTTTTCTTTGAACAAATTTGTTTTCTCTTCAAAGAAAATGTGAAGAAGATAAAAGTAAACCATTAGGGTTTATGTCACATATATATATATTTTTAGTTTAACATGATTTTAAAAATATCCTCATAAATCCTCTACAGGAACTATAAAATCTTCCTAAATAACATATTTCTAAATTAACTATAAACTAAGCAAAAATGATGGTAGGCAAGGGTGACATTGTATATCTAAAGTCCAAAAATCTAAGCATTTTACTTATTTAACTTATTAATTAAGGCATTAGTTAATAATTAATTAAGATTAATTAAGGCATTAACCTGCCATGAGAAAGTTAAAATGGTGCTCAAACCCCCTCATGTACTAGAAAACACCCCAGGATAATGAGGTCACTTTATTAATGCAGCACATAGTTCCTTTTAGAAGGTGAAGCAACTAGCAGCACTTGGTTGCTGCTATCCCTTTACATAAAGTAGCTCCTGAAAGCCCATTCAAAACTATTGCCACGCTGTTGCCCAGTGATAGAACTTGTAATTACAGCATCTGTTTTGTACCTTCAAAAGGAATTCTAAGTCTGGGGTTCCTAAACGATCCCAACTATAAACTTGCAGCTGAGTCATACTGAAGCTTGTTCCAGAAATAAATTCTGGAAAAGAAATGACATATCTAAAGCAGAGTACAAAGTGTACAACTCAAACTTTAGAAAGCTGCAGCACAGAAATGAGAGTTAACAGAAAAGAGGTTTTTTTGTTGTTGTTTTTGTTTTTTTTGAGTTGGAGTCTCACTGTCGCCCAGACTGGAGTGCTGTGGCCGCTCCCGGTCACTGCAGTCTCGACCTGCTGGGCTTCGGCGATCCTTCCGCCTCAGCCTTCCGAGTAGCCAGAATTACAGGCATGCGCTACCACACCCGGCTGATTTTTTGATTTATTGTAGAGATGAGGTCTCGCTGCCCAGGCGGGTCTCGAACCCGCGGGCTCAGGCAATGCACTCACCTCAGCCTCCCAAAGGCGCGGGATTACAGGCTGAGCCACAGAGCCCAGCAAGAGGTTATATTTTAAAAGGGGAGATTTTATATTTTTAAAAGGAGGGAAGTCAGTGGGCCAGTCACCCTGCCTGCTTTACTGAGTTAATACATGATTTCGAGAAAGACTCCCATTTTTAGAAAGACTAAGCAGCAAACAACCGACACGTTGAAGGCAGACGGGCAATCTCTCCCTCAACTGCCTATTTCAACAAAATAGGCCTCCCCCACATCACTCTGTTGAGAGGAAAAAACGCTTAGCAGTATGTTGAGGTCGCATGATACATATAAGAAATCAAGGCAACTAGAGCTCTAAAATTTATCTTACAGTAGAACTCTATGCTTCCTAATAATGGTCTCTATAGAATTTAAGCTGCAAGCTATGATAAGGCACTTTTTAAAAGTTTGAATTTACAGAAATACTTGAGGTATACTTAAACAATATTTGTCTTTTGTAAATTTACAAATGGCTTTAACAGAAAATGTTTCCTCTTAAATATAGTCCAAGGACTAATTTTTTTGGGGGAGGAGGGTCAATGAGAATGAATATAGCACTATTGTAATACTGATAACAAAATACTTTATTTATAGAAAAAGAGGCACATTTATAAATTGGTCTTCTGTTGAAGTGATCTGCCTTTGCCAACAAATCCCAGCATAGGAATAATAGTACACATATTACTTAATAATACTGTGTTGCTACCTTTGTATTGCATTTTTTTGTCATCAACACATTTTTATCGCTTTGTGTAAAACACACCAACCCCTGCCTCCCGCCCCCCTCAAAGGGCTAGCAGCTCAGTGTCTCTATCTGTTCCCAAGATACTAACAGAATAAGGAAAAAAGCTACGTGACTGGCTGGGTGCAGTGATTCAAGCCTATAATCCCAGCACTTTGGGAGGCCAAGGCAAGAGGACTGCCTGAGCCCGTGGGTTTAAGACCAACCTAGGCAAGGTGAAACCTAGTCTCTACAATAAACCAAAAAAATTGGCTGTGTGGTAGCATGCGCCTGTAGTTCTGGCTACTTGGAAAGTTGAAGTGGAAGAATCACCAGCGCCCAGCATGCACTCCAGCCTGGGCATTAGAGTGAGACTCCAATTCCAAAAAAAACAAAAAATAAGCTACCTAACCAAAATAAAATCTAAATTCTTGAAAAAAAATTGCATTGCAAAAATACCAGAGAAACAAATCAACCTACAAGGAAAACAAAAATGAGTAGAGACAAAATGAAAAGAGGAAAAAAATCATCCTTTCAACATGAAAATGATTCACAGTTTCCTCAAAATAAAACACTAAGAAAAAAAAGTCAAAGGCAAGGGGATTTAAATAGCCAGGCTCAGTGGCTCAGTCTGTAATTCCAGCACTTTGGGAGGCCGAAGTGAGTGGACTGCCCGAACCCGGGGTTTGAAACCCACCATGGCAACTTGCTGAGACCTCGTCTCCACAATAAATCAAAAATTAGCCGGGCGTGGTAGCACGCGCCTGTAGTTTTAGCTACTTGGAAGGCTGAGGCGGAAGGATCTCCAGAGAACGCAGGTCAAGGCTGTGGTGGCTGGAATGTACCACTGCACTCCACTCCGGACGACAGAGTGAGAATCCAACTCAAAAAAAAAAAGTTGGAAACATCCAGGCACAGTGGCTCACGCCTGTAATCTCAGCACTCTGGAAGGCTGAGGTGAGAGAATTGCCTGAGTTCAGGGGTTCGAGACCAGCCTGAGCAACATGACAAGACCTTGTCTCCACAATAAATCAAGAAATTAGTCAGGCATGGTGGCGCATGACTGTGGTTCCTGCTGCTTGGAAGGTTGAGGCAGAAGGATCACCTGAGCCCAGCAGGTCAAGGAGGCACTCCAGCCTGGGTGACAGAGTGAGGCTCCAAGTAAAAAAAAAAAAAAAAATGGAAACAGTCTAAATAGACATAATGAACTTAGAAAAACCTCTAGACTTTCTCAAGATGGAATCTAATCGTTAACTGATTTCTCCCTTACTGATGTTCATATACCTGATCATAAAAGTTAATGTTAACTATTGCAATTAGTCATATCCTATAAGTTAAATTCATATTCTTCCTGATTTTATCAATTTAAACATAGTAATCAAGTACTGTTTTCAGCATGATATGAATTTAAGCATCACTGTAAATGATATAGAAAGGAAACTGAAAAAAAAGAAAGAAAGAAAGAAAGGAAACTGGCCAGACTCGAGGTGAGTGGATTGCCTGAGCCCCTGGATTCGAGGACCAGCCCGGGGAATTTGGTGAGACCCCGTCTCTACAATAAAAATAAAAAATTAGCCAAGTGTGGTAGTGCAGGCCTGTAGTTCCAGCTACTTGAAAGGCTGAGGTAGAAGGATTGCCAGAGCCCAGCAGGTCGACGCTGGGGAGGCTGTGAGTATGCCACTGCACTCCAGCCTGGACGACAGAGTGAGACCCCAATTCAAAAAAAAGAAAAAAAAAGAAAGGAAACTTGCTTCTATTAATACTCCCATTCAGAAAGATTTTAATTCACATATGAATATAAGACAATGTATAAAGACTACCTTTGAAATGTAGGTAAGTTTGATGGCTCCAACACGTGATGATCCAGAAGGTAGGTTCTAGAAACAAAGTATTAACATACAATTAATACCCAGTATTAAAAATTTATTTTATAACATAATGTTCCCCATATACTCAAAAGTTAAGAAATTCAATTTTTTAACATCACATTTTACAAATCAACTTTTTTCAGTTGAGGTACTTACTAGGTCTGAAATCAAGTTGACAACTATGTCCAGAAAAATCAATGCATTAATTACAACTACAGACCTGATTTTTTTAAAGTTCATGTGAAAAAGAATTGGCTGAGTACAAACCTTAATACTCTCCCTGCTATAGCCAAAGTGAACTGTTCTGCAAATATGCCACAGGCTCTCTCTTGCTTTGATTTCTTTAGCTACACTATTCTTTGAGCAGTAGAATACCCACTTCTGCACTTGGACAAAATCATATCCAAACTTCTGGGCCACCTTCATAAAGACTTCAACTCCCTCTATTAGCTATAATCACAACCTTCCTCTGAATTCCAAGTTTATGTTTCATTCAGGTTAATAAATATATTCCATTTTGCACTTATTATCTTCTTTTAGCACTGAGTAGGAAGTACTGATAAAATGAAGAATTACATGAAAAACCGATTACATAGGAAAACAGAAGAACAACCAAGGGGTCTTAAGTAAAGAGAAACCATATGTAAGTCAATCAGACCTTATGAAAATAGAAAAATCAGAGAGAGAACATCGGCAGAACTGTGGGATGGCTTGCATAGGTGAGGAAGACCAGGAACAGGAATCTGATAGATTAGATAGTAATTAGGGGGAGTCAAGAAAACAAAGTTCGTTTTTACCCTAGGAAGTGGAGTTTTTGAGGGGACTGTACCCCATATAAAAAGATGGAGCCTTTATTTTTTCTTTTGTAGGGCCAGTAAATTTTATTTTTCCAAAGGCAAAAAACACTTTATCTATTAAGGAAAATTGCAAACCAGTTTGTGGACACCAGTTCCAAGCCCGCAGCCTTATGCTTCCACTGTCTTAGTTTATATGTCCCATCATTCGTCCTCTTGTTAAACATGTAGGCTTCATTCTCTTGAGTGAAATGTGGCGAACAGGATTCTGGATACTGCCTGACTTACAGAGGCATACGGATTTACTATTTTCTTTTCATTTTATTTATTTATTTATTTTTATTGTACATATTTTTTTATTTTAAAATTGTGGGGTACAGTTAAGGGTTAGGAATACAAATATTCGTTTTGCAGGCACCCCTGTTAATGCACTGTGCCCCCCCTTTTCCCAGACAGATGTTGACTCCGTTAATCCCACCTCCCTTCCCCTCCCTGGCCCCCCCATAGTTTCCCGTCACTGTCAATCCTTTTCTTACAGCATTACGGTAGTTGTTCAAGGTCTACTTATGTGTGAGAACGTGTGATACTCAAGTCTTTGTTTCTGTGAGAGATCACTCAGTATTATAAACTTGAATTCCATCCAGCTTGCTGCAAAATTCATGATTTTGTTCTTTTTTATGGCTGCATAATATCCCATTGTGTATATGTACCACATTTTTTTAATCCAGTCCTCTTTTGATGGACAGCACAGTTGGTTCCATGCTCTTGCTATTGTGAACAATGCTGCGATAAATATATGTATGCAGATATCTTTTTTATAGAGTGATTTGAGTTCTTCTGGGTATACTCCCAGTAGGGGGATTGCGGGGTCGTATGGAAGGTCGATTTTTAGAGCTTTTAGGAATCGCCATACTGATTTCCACTGAGGCTGTACTAGTTTACACTCCCACCAACAGTGTAGAAGTGTTCCCTTTTCGCCATATCCTCTCCAGCATCTGTTATTTTTTTGAGTTACTGATGATGGCCATTCTGATTGGAGTTAGGCGGTATCTCAGTGTAGTTTTAATTTGCATCTCCTTGATGGCTAGTGAAGTTAAACATTTCTTCATGTATCTGTTGGCTGCTCGTATGTCTTCTTTTGAGAAGTGTCTGTTCATAACTTTTGCCCACTTTGTAATAGGGTTGTTTGCTTTTTTCTTTTCAGCACATCTGAGTTCCTTGTAGATCCTTGATGTTAGATCTTTGTCAGACATGGAGTTGGCAAATTCTTTTTCCCAGTCTGTGGGCTGTCTCCCTGCTCTCTTGATGGTTTCTTCGGCTTTGCAGAAGCTTGTCAGTTTAATGAGGTCCCAATTGTCTATCTCATCTCTTATGGCCCATGCATTTCAGGTTTTGCTCAGGAATTGGATGCCAGTTCCAACTTCCATAAGGGTGTGTCCTGCATTTTCTAAAGTTCTTATGGTTTGAAGTTCTACATGTAGGTCTCCGATCCATTTAGAGTTAATTTTTGTATATGGAGATAGATAGGGGTCCTGTTTGAATCTTCTGCATGCGGTCAGCCAGTTTTCCCAGCACCATTTACTGAATAGGTTCTCCTCTCCCCAGTGGTGGGTGGCGGAGGCTTTGTCGAAGATGAGTTGGTTGAGAAACTGAGGTTTTGCTTCTGGAATCTCAATTCTATTCCATTGGTCTATATGCCTGTTCTTGTACCAATACCAGGCTGTTTTGCTTATTGTAGCTTTATAGTAAAGTTTAAAGTCTGGTAATGTGATACCTCCTGCTTTGATATTTTTGCTTGGTTGTTTGTGTTTCCGTATGAATTCCTGTATTGTTTTTTCTAGATCTGAGAAGAATGCTGCTGATAATTTGATGGGTATTGCATTAAATCTGTAGATTGCCTTAGGTAAGATGGATATCTTAACAATGTTGATTCTTCCAATTCATGAGCATGGGATATTTTTCCACTTGTTTATGTCATCTTTGATTTCTTTGAGCGGTGTTTTATAGTTTTCATTGTAAAGGTCTTTCACATCTCTGGTTAGGAAGATGCCAAGATATTTCATTTTTTTGTGGCAATTGTGAATGGGATTGTGCTTTTAATTTGGGTTTCTGTTTGTTTTTTAATTGGTGTAAAGAAATTCGATTGTCTTTTGCACATTTATTTTATACCCTGAGACTTTGCCAAAAGTCTTAAAGATGGAGTCTTTAAAAAAATGAAATTTTTTTTAAAAAATTGAGTCATAAAAAGGAAAAATATATTTATATAGCTATTTTTTAGAGGTAAACATGAACTTTTTCTTTTTCTGACCTTTTTTTTCTCACTGACTCTCAAGTAAATAAAGGTAAGAATCATATAATTACATAGCCAGGTGGCTACAACCCAAGGAAGCTGGTTATACTCAGAGATAAAGGAGTAAAGTAGGATGTCAATTAGCTCCATAAGGACAGTGGTAAGTACTCAACATAATATAAGCTGAATTAAAATACAATTATCCTCCAAAATTTGAAAGGCTACCTGTGAATAAAGGGCTAAAATTAGGAGGGACAAAAGTAGAATTAGTGAGTAGAAGATTTAAGAAACTACACTCTGGGTCACAGAAAAAAATAACTGGAAGGTGTCCCAAATATAACAAATTTTTTTAATAATGTGTAATTCAAACAATAATTAAAACAAAGACCAGAGATAGATGGGTTTCTTGCATTAAGAAGACAATTAATACTAAGGTCTCTTAAAAGTCAAATTCTGTATAAACAAGTATACACACACAACAGCATATACATCAGTGAAGAATACTAGTTATTAGGAAATCTAGTTCCTGCTCTGTGAGATAGAATGGAACCTCCTACAAGTCTCTGCTCTTCCCTACACTTTCTGTTCCTCAATTGCATAAGAAGCCCACTGGGTAAAGTCAGCTTAGAAGTTCACAAGGGATTCATACTTTGCTTTGCACATACTTCCTGCCAACATATATATTTATTTTTAACTTTTATAACAATTTTTATTTGGAGGTGAAGAGTTCCACAAATAAAGAAAATTTAAAGTTACTTGGCAGATGCTTTCTAATCTCAGGTGTCTCACAGACCTTAAACTGGGATTCTAATTTTTTTTTTTTTTGAGTCAGAGTCTCACTCTGTCACCCAGACTGGAGTGCAAGTGGCCGCTCCCAGTCACCGTAGCCTCAACCTGCTGGGCTCTGGCGATCCTTCCGCCTCAGCCTTCCAAGTAGCTGGAACTACAGGTGTGCGCTACCACGCCCGGCTACTTTTTTGAATTATTGTAGAGATGAGGTCTCACACCAAGTTGCCCAGGCAGGTCTTAAACCCACGGGCTCAGGCAATCCACTCACCTCAGCCTCCCAAGGCGCAGGATTACAGGCTGAGCCACCAAGCCTGGCTGGGATTCTAATTTTTAATTCAGGAGATTTACTCCAATATTTTACAAGGCAACAATAAAATAAAACTGCGCTTCAGTTCATGATGCCATTACAATGACTGACATTCAAGCCCAAAAATGCAAGAAGAAAGGATATATATGTGCAAGATTATCAAGTAAAGCCATTTATTTAATAAAAGATAGCAATCTACAGCATCTTAAATCTACATGGGTTAATAATTTTCTACCAGAGAGAGTTTTCCCTCCCAAGGAAGAAACAATATACACAAAAGCATACTTTTGTGTCAAATAAGCTTAGTTTCACCTACTGAAATTCATACAAGACAATAAGGATCAAGACAGTGAGAGCAGAGCCAGTGGAAATAAACCTAAATGCCTACTATTTAGGAAGACAAATCCTAATGCCTGTATAGTATGTCAAATACTTAAATAAAGCTTTCTATGTCTCTAAAAAGTAACCTTTTGGATTTTACAAACCTGTGGATTATCCATGTACCATACAAAACTGTCTTCTCTGGTATCCAATATGAAGTACCTTCGAAGAAATTTGCCACTGTTTTCATTTTCTTCAATGTCTAGAAAACCACAGATGCGATTCTGACGATCCACATAAGGCATTTCTAGGCTTGAACATTACACTGTAAAATAAAAACATTAACAGTAAGCTCCTTATAATATTTCTCAGTGGGCTGTAAGCATAAAATGTGTTATAGTGCAGTTTGTTCAACAAAGGGCTTCTTTCCAACATTAGGTGGGGTAAACTAATATGAACTCACACCAACATCTGACGCATGGGCAAAAATCATTTAAAATTAAACTTCTTATGAATGGTTACTAAACGTTAACTCTTCACACTGATGAATAAGGAGAGCTATTCACCTTAGTTGATAATTTACTTATTTTTTCCCAATTAAAAACAAAAAAAAACCTAGGAAAGTCAAAAAACCAGCTATCCAAATTTTAATTTCTTCACTTACAAATTAAGATAATCTACTGTGTAGAATGTTTTAGAATATATTTACATCCACAAAACAATAACAACTAGCATGTATTGACCACCTGCTATATGCTAAGCTCTGTGCAAGGTTCTTTTCCATGCAGTATCTGTTTTAATCCTTAAAACCACCTTATGAGTAAACAACATCATCCCGGTCTCACAGATAAAGAAACTTAACATTGGGAAGTGAAGTGATTTTCCAAAATTACAGAACTACTAGGTAAAGAATTAAAACTTGGACCCTGATTCTTAGACTCTAGAGCTCATATCTTAGGCTCCCAAAACCAGTGTCTCCCAAAGCCCTTAAACTGTTAAAAGGGAATCAAAATAAACTTAGCTAACATAATGGAAAGAGAATAAGAAGGTACAATGTGCCTCCTGATAGGAAGACACAAACGTCACCTATGAAGTGAGCATATAACAAAAAAATGGTTTTATCTAAATCTGATCAAATCACAGACCCCCTCCCCATGGCAAACTAGCAATTTACAGGAGATGCAGAAGACAGAGTAGCATACTAAACTGTACCATAGGAATTCAATCAGCAAAAGGCAGAATATGGAAAACAAAAAGACCAAACAAAACAAAACATCCCAGTATCTTTAGCAAATAAATTACTACAGAAACAAAGAGAGAGAACCTATAGTTTAAAAGATCCTATTCTCGTTCTAAACTTTTGTTGAACTAATTAAAGTTAAAAACCATGACCTGCGTAAAGCAGTTTCCAACCACTTTTTCTCTAGAAACTACAGATATGTGATTCCTTCCTGATGCGATGTTTAATATAATTATATAATTCTACTGACAGCTGTTCCTATTCTGATACCTCTAAAGCTGGCACGATCACATATTTTGGCAGGATGAATTTATGTAACTAGTTCCTCATCTAAAGGTTAAAGGCAAATTTAACACACAGTGAAAACTCAATTATAATGAACTCTAATATACTGTGCATCTACATCACTATTCTGTACGCAGGCAGAGAAATGATGAAACACTCAAAAAGTTTTAAATAAGTATGGTATGCTGTTGTTATGAATTTACCTAAATTTTTTTTAAATTTTACAATCAAAGCTTGAAAATTCAATCAACTGGCATATACTACAAGTAAAAATTATCAACTTGTGTGGTACTGTTATAAGGACAGACATAGACCAATGAAAAAGAATTGAGAGCCCAGAAATGGTTTCTTTGGTCATTTGATTTCAACAAGGGTGCTAACACCATTCAAGGGGAGGTCTCTTCAACGAATCATGCTGGTACATGGTACAGCTGGATAGCCATATGTAAAAGAATGAAGATGAAGCCCTGACACCATGTACAAAAATTAACTCAAAATGGATAAACAATCTAAATATAAGAGCTAAAACTATAAAAATTTTAGAGGAAAACAGATGGGTAAATCTTCTTAACCTTGGAATTAGCAATGAATTCTTGGATATAACACCAAAAGCATGAATAACAACAAAAATAAGAGAAATCAGACTGTCAAAATTTAAAGCTTTTGTGTATCAGAAGACATCAAGAAAGTCAAAAGGCACTCTACAGGGTGGAAGAAAATATTTGCAAATTATATATCTGATAAGAGTCTGGTATACAGATTATATAAATCGTTCTTAGAACTCAACAACAGAAACCAACAATCTAATTTAAAAATGGGCAAAGGACTTGAGATATTTGTCCAAAGAAGATAAACAAATGAATAACAAGAACATTAAAAGACGTTCAATATCATTAGTCATTAGGGAAATGCAAATCAAAACCACAATGAGGTATCAGTTCACACCCACTATGATGGCTATAATTAAAAGAAGGGAAAACAGCAAGGCAAGGACATGGAGAAACTGGAACCCTCTTACATTACTAGTGGCAATGTAAATGGTATGACAGCTGTATAAAGCAGTTTGGCAGTTCTTCAAAAGTTAAACACACAATTACTGTATGACCCAGCAATTCCACTTCTGTGCACAAGCACACTTCATTTTATTGCATTTCACTTTACTATACTTCACAGATACTGCAGTTGTTTTGTTTTGTTTTTTTTAATAGAAAGTTTATGGCAACTCTGCATTTGAGCAAGGATACAGGTTCCCTTTTTTCAACCGTACGTGCTCACTCCATGTCCCTGTGTCACATTTTAGTAACTCACAACATTTCAAATTTTTTCACTATTATTATATCTGTTATGGTCATCTGTGATCAGTGATCTTTGACGTTACTACTAAAATTATTTTGGGATATCATGAACCATGCCCATGTAAGACAGTGAACTTAATAAATGTTGTGTGTATTCTGAAAGCTCAAATTGTTCTCCCCATCTCTTTCCTGGGGTCTCCCTATTGCCTAAGTCACAATATTGAAATTAGGCCAATTAATAGCCATACAACGACCTCTAAATGTTCAAGTGAAAGGAAGAGTTGTAAGTGTCTCACTTTAAATTGAAGGCTAGAAATTATCAAGTTTCATAAGGCAGGCAAGTCAACAGCCAAGACAGGAAAAAAGCTAGGTCTCTTGAACCATTTAGCCAAGCTGTGAATACAAAGCAAAAGTTCTTGAAGGAAATTAAAAGTGCTACTCCAGTAAACACAAGAAAGCAAAATAGCCTTATTACCAACATGAAGAAAGTTTTAGTGGTTTGGAAAGAAGATCAAAAAAGTTACAACATTCCCCTGAGCCAAAGCCTAATCCAAATAAAAGCCCAAACTCTCTTCAACTCTATGAAAGCTGAAAAGCTTCAGAAAAAAATGTTGGAAGCAGCAGAGGTTAGGTAATGACATTTATGAAATGAAACCATCTCCATAACATAAAAGTGCAAGATGAAGCAGCAAATGCTGATGTAGAAGTTGCATCAAATTATTCAGAAGATCTAGCTAAGATCATTGATGAAGTTGGCTACACTAAATAACATATTTATAATGTGGACAAAACAGCTTTATATTGGAAGAAGATGGCACCTAGGACTTCCATAGTTAGAGAGATGTCAGTGCTTGGCTTCAAAGGTTCAAAGGACAGGCTATCTTGTTAGGGGCTAATGCAGCTGGTCACTTTAAGTTGAAACCAATGTTCTTTTACCATTCTAAAAATCCTAAGACCCTTAAGAGTTATGCTAAATCTACTCTGCCGGTGCTCTATACATGGAACAACAAAGCCTGGATAACAGTGCACCTGTTTACAGTATGGTTTACTGAATATTTTAAGCCCACTGTTGAGACCTCCAGTTCAGAAAAACAAGATTCCTTTCAAAATATTACTGCTCATTGACAATGCAGCTAGTCACCCAAGAGTTCTAATGGAGATGTACAAGAAGATTTATGTTGTTTTCATGACAGCTAACACAACATCCATTCTGCAGCTAATGCATCAAGAAATCAACTTCTTAGCCTTATTATTTAGAAATATATTTCATAAGGATAAAGCTGCCACAAACAGTGATTCCTCTGATGGATCTGGGCAAAATAAACTGAAAACCTTATAGAAAGGATTCATCATGCTAGATGCCATTAAGAACATTTGTGATTCACAGGTGGTAAAAATATCAACATTAACAAGAGTCTGGAAGAAGTTGATTTCAATCCTCAGGGATGACTTCGAAGGCTTCAAGACTTCAGTGGAGGAAGTCACTGCAGATGTGGTAGAAATAGCAAGGGAAGTAGAATTACAATGGGAGCTTGAAGAGGTGACTGCTGCAATCTCATGATAAAACTATGTGGATGAGGAATTGCCTCTTACAGATAAGCAAAGAAAGTGGCTTCATTAAACTGAATCAATTTCTGATGAAGAAGCTGTGAACATGAAGTGACAAAGGACTTAGAGTTTATATTTGATAAGGTAGCCTCAGTGTTTGAGAAGGCTGACTCCAATTTTCCAAGAAGTTCTACAGTGAGTAAAATGCTGTCAAACAGCATCACACGCTACAGAGAAATTTTTCATGAAAGGAAGAGTCAATCAGTGTAGCAAACTTCATTGTTGTCCTATTTTAAGAACTCACCACAGTCACCCAAACATATAGCAACCACAACTCTGGATCAGTTAGCAGCCATCAACATTGTGGCAAAATCCTCCACCAGCACAAAAATTACAACTTGCTAAAAGCTCAGATGATTATTAGCATTTTTTAGCAAAAGTATTTTTTAAACATAATACTACTGCACACTTAAGAGACTACAGTATAGTATAAACATAGCTTTCATAGGCACTGGGAAATCAAAAAATGTATGTGACTCATTTTATTGCAATATGTGCTTGATTGCAATGGTCTGGAACTGAACCCACAGTATCTTCAAGGAATGCCTATGTATACCCAGAACTGAAAACAGGCAAACCCTTGCATATGAATGAATGTATATAAATGAGTATATATGAATGAATTGAAAACAAGCAAACCCTTGTATATAAAGGTTCACAGCAGCACTGTTCACAACTAGCCAAAAGGTGGAAACAACCCAAATATCCATGGATGAGTGAAGGGATAAATAAAATGTATAACATACAGTGGAATGTTTTCAGACATAAAAAGGAAAGAAGTGCTGACATGCTATAAACTGGACCTTGAAAACATTATGCTAAGTGAAAAAACCCAGCAACAAAAAGGAACATATTGAATGACTCTATTTATATGAAAGATTCATAACAGATATATCC